CTTTCTCCACAACCTCTCCAGCATGTGTTGTCCCTTGAGATTTTCATCTTGGCCATTCTGATGGGTGTAAGGTGAAATCTCAGGGTTGTTTTGATTTGCATTTCCCTAATGGCTAATGAGGTTGAGCATTTCTTTAAGTGCTTCTCTGCCATTCGATATTCCTCTGCAGAGAATTCTCTCTTTAGCTCTGTTCCCCATTTTTTAAGTGGATTACTTGGTTTGTTGCTTTTCAGCTTGTTTAGTTCTTTATATATATTGGATATGAGTCCTCTGTCAGATAGAGGGTTGGTGATGATTCTTTCCCAATCTGTAGGCAGTCGCTTTGTTTTGATGACGGTGTCCTTTGCTTTACAGAAGCTTTTCAATTTCATGAGGTCCCATTTATTGATTGTTGCTCTTAGAGCCTGTGCTGTTGGTGTTCTGTTCAGGAAGTTTTCTCCTGTACCAATGAGTTCTAGGGTATTCCCCACTTTTTTTTCTAGCCGATTTAATGTGTCTGGTTTTATGTTGAGGTCTTTGATCCACTTGGACTTCAGTTTTGTGCAGGGTGATAAGTATGGATCTATTTTCATTTTTCTACATGTAGACATCCAGTTGGACCAGCACCATTTGTTGAAGATGCTATCATTTTTCCATTGTATGGTTTTGGCATCTTTGTCAAAAATCAGGTGTCCGTAAGTGTGTGGGTTTATTTCTGGGTCTTCTGTTCGATTCCATTGATCCACCATTCTGTTTCTATGCCAGTACCATGCAGTTTTTATAACTGTTGCTCTATAGTACAGCTTGAGATCAGGGATGGAGATACCTCCAGAAGATCTTTTATTGTAGAGGATTGTTTTAGCAATTCTCGGTTTCTTGTTATTCCATACAAAGTTGAGAATTTTTCTTTCCAGGTCTGTAAAGAATTGTGTTGGCAATTTGATGGGAATTGCATTAAATCTGTAGATTGCTTTTGGTAAGATGGCCATTTTTACTATGTTAATCCTGCCAAGCCATGAGCATGGGAGATCTTTCCATCTTCTCATATCTTCCTCTAATTCTTTCTTCAGAGACTTGAAATTTTTTTCATACAAGTCTTTGACTTCCTTGGTTAGGGTTACGCCAAGGTACTTTATGTCCTTTGTGGCTATTGTGAAGGGTGTTGTTTCTCTAATTTCTTTCTCAGCCCTTTTGTCTTTTGTATACAGGAGTGCTACTGATTTTTTTGAGTTAATTTTATATCCGGCCACTTTGCTGAAGGTGTTTATCAGCTGTAGGAGTTCCCTGGTAGAGTTTTTGGGGTCACTCATATATACTATCATATCATCTGCAAATAGTGATAATTTGACTTCTTCCTTTCCCATCTGTATCCCCTTGATCTCCTTCGACTGTCTTATTGCTCTAGCAAGGACTTCCAGCACTATGTTGAAGAGATATGGAGACAGTGGGCAGCCTTGTCTTGTCCCTGATTTCAGTGGGATTGCTTTAAGTTTCTCTCCGTTCAGTTTGATGTTGGCTATAGGCTTGCTGTATATCGCCTTTACTATGTTTAGATATGTGCCTTGTATCCCTGAACTCTCCAGTACTTTAAACATGAATGGATGTTGGATTTTGTCAAATGCTTTTTCAGCATCTAGGGAGATTATCATGTGGTTTTTTTCTTTCAGTTTGTTAATATGGTGGATCACATTGATGGATTTCCGTATATTGAACCACCCCTGCATACCTGGGATGAAGCCTACTTGGTCATAGTGGATAATATCTTTGATGTGTTCTTGGATCCGGTTTGCAAGTATTTTGTTAAGTATTTTTGCATCAATGTTAATAAGGGAGATTGGCCTGAAATTCTCTTTCTTTGTTGAGTCTTTGTGAGGTTTAGGTACCAAGGTGATTGTGGCTTCATAGAATGAGTTTGGTAATGTTCCTTCTGTTTCTATTTTGTGGAATAGTTTGAAGAGAATTGGAGTTAGCTCTTCTTTGAAGGTCTGGTAGAATTCTGCACTGAAGCCATCTGGTCCTGGGCTTTTTTTGGATGGGAGACTTTTGATGACTGCTTCTATTTCTTTGGGGGATATAGGACTATTTAGTTGATTTACCTGGTCCTGATTCAGCTTTGGTGAGTCAAATCGATCAAGAAAATTGTCCATTTCATTTAGATTTTCAAATTTTGTGGCATATAGACTTTTGAAGTAAGTCCTAATGATTGTTTGGATTTCCTCAGTGTCTGTAGTTATGTCCCCCTTTTCATTTCTGATTTTGTTGATTTGGGTGGTGTCTCTCTGCCTTTTAGTTAGCTTGGCTAAGGGTTTGTCTATCTTGTTGATTTTCTCAAAGAACCAGCTCTTGGTTTCATTGATTCTTTGAATTGTTTTATTTGTTTCTAATTGATTGATTTCAGCCCTGAGTTTGATTATTTCCAGCCGTCTACTCCTTTTTGGTGTGTCTGCTTCTTCTTTTTCTAGGGTTTTTAAGTGGGCCATTAAGTTGCTTGAATGAGCTGTCTCGAATTTCTTCTTGAAGGCACTTAGTGCTATGAACTTTCCTCTTAGCACTGCTTTCATTGTGTCCCACAAGTTAGGGTATGTTGTGTCTTCATTTTCATTGAGTTCTAGAAAGGCTTTAATTTCTTTCTTTATTTCTTCCCTGACCCAGCTGTCATTTAGTAACAAGTTGTTCAGTTTCCATGAGTGTGTAGGCTTTTTGCTATTTCTGTTGTTGTTGAAGTCCAGCTTTATTCCATGGTGATCAGACAGGATACAAGGGATTATTTCAGTCTTCTTGTATCTGTTGAGGCTTGCTTTGTGACCAACTATATGGTCTATTTTGGAGAAGGTTCCATGAGGTGCTGAGAAGAAGGTAAATTCTTTTGCACCCTACACATTTTTAAGAATCTACCTGTTGTTTAAGCCAATCACTACAGCATCCTACCTGCAAAGAGAACTCAAGATTGAGGGAGGACAGCAGTCTCCCCGGAGACCGTAAGCCAGTGACCCTTCGCTCCCCAGCTTTCTCAAGGCTCTGCCACAGCACTTGAGATCAAATGGCATCCCCAGAACCACGGCTAGGAATTCTCATGTTCTTGGGAGGGAGGCATCTCACCAAGTGTGCGCCGGAGAAACTTTTTCTCCTTCCCTTTCTTTTTTCAAAGCCCTTACCATGTGGCTGAAAGTCACCTAGAACCCCCACGTTGTTTACATTGCCATGAACTGAGTCTTCATGCTTCATTCTCCCAAATGCAGGGATTACAAGCACACACTGCCACTCCTCCACTAGACCGGGGCACTCTACTTTATGGACCTAACAGCAATGGGAATAAAGATGGGCATCCTGCTAGTCCAAGCCAGCCAAATCAATGGTTGGACTGCACTATTAAAGTGTTTACAGAACACCATTCTAATGAAACAGTATGCTGGAGCCCTCCATGTTGACTGCAGGCAAACCCGTCCTCTGTGAAGTCGATGAGAAGCTGGGGTTGTTGCCACAGCTTGCTTCCCTAATACTGCACTGTAATAGAGGAACTAACATGCTTTCTTTGAGTCACAAACCTTACTGAATGCCCATGGATTACCAAATGACAGCCTGAAGAACAAGGAGGAAGGGACTGTATCGAAGTGATCGGGCATTTGCCCAACACCTTCAAGGCCCCAACTTGGATCCACAGATGATAAAAATGTGTAGGTGAAGGGCTGGCCAGTGATTACTATAGCGAACGGTAACTGGCTGACTACTCATTAGTTGCTTACTGGACTGTAAAGATCCACAGATGAGGCACTTTTCTTTCTTTTTTTTTGAAGAGAGTGTATGTCTACACAGAATTTATGTGCTGGTCCATTATGGGACATTTTCAGTATTTATTCTTGGATGTTCACAGGCTCCAGAAAAGCCATGGCATTTTAAAGCCTGGAAGGTAGGAAAATGCAGTTTTCAATTTAGTAAAACCTCTCTTCTAAATGAAATCTAATCGCTAAACATGCACTTAGCCGTGCTAAGGCTCTGACAGTGCTACTGAAATGAAGCCAAAAGGCAGGAGTCACAAATACCCTTCTGAACCAGGACTGGTTTCCAGACCAAATCTTATATAGGCTTCTGAACTTTTAAAAATTCTGACCTAAAGTCAGAACTGAGATGTTTTGTCTCGGGAATTTGTAACACGGCCACTCTTAGTATTTATTATTGATTTTTACTAGTGTGTATGGCACAATGTGCGCAGGTGCCAGTGGAGACCAGCAGAGGGTGTTAGCTGCATTTACAGGCAGTTGTGAGCCACCCAAAGTGGGTGCTGGGAACCAAACTTGGGTCCTCTAGAACAGCAGTAACCCTTAACTTCCAAGCCACCGCTCATTCCCTACTCTCAGGTTTTTTTACATGTAGTGGATTCTGAATTAATTCAGGTGAGAAGCAACCTCAGAGATCTAAGCTAGGTGTGGTGGCTCATGCCAGTAATCTCAGCACCCTGGGAGCTGAGGCAGGAGACTCACCGTGAGTTCCAGACTGGCCTGACTACATAATGAGTCCCAGGTCAGCCTTGTTTCCAGGTTAGGGCTGTGTTTCAAAAACTGAAACAACAACAAAAACCCCTACCCTAACTTGCCAGGTATTGTGGTACATGTCTCTCTACTACTAGAGGCCAGCGCTGGAGATCACTAGTCTAAATAATACAGTGAGATCTTTTCTGAAAAAACAAAACAGAACTGAGAAGAACTACCACTTGGATCCACATTTTGTGCTTCTTGAAAAGGTTAGGCTTCAATAATACCCTTCCATTGGAAGAAAAGACCCTCTCTCTATCAAGCAGTGTCTTTCAAGTTTGATCACTGTAACAGCATCCACACAGAATCTGGTTTAGTTATATTAATGGCTTATTTTATTTTTTAAAAAAGCTGATTTTATAACTGTATGTAGAGAACTAGATTTTATAAAATAGTTCCATTCGCTATGTATGTAGATTACCTTAAAATATGGAGAACCAAATTATTCTTTGGTTTTATCTTATAGGAAAAACAACACACAGTCTCATCACATGGCTTTGCGATATTTATATTCCATTGCACAGATATGGGCTATACAAATTAGTAACATGAATTGTTTCTTAAATTCCAAACATTTGTCTAAAATCTTATTATGGCAGAGGCCTAGGATATTAAAACATCAAGGCTGAATTCATCCTCTAAAGTAGTTAAATGCAACACTGAAAATACTGCACATTTTAATTAAAGGAATATTAGAGGGTGGCCTCAAATGCTAACAGACTAGGTAGGGGGCTACGAGCATGTACAAGTAAGTCACTGTGGTCCTTTTAACATATGCAAATGACTATTCTTTAGGTACCCCTTCCTCTTGGAAGTACAGAATTAATACATAAAAATCCAAATAAACAATTTCAAGAAATTTAAATTCTTCCTAGGATACAAGCTCTATGGAAAAGCGATCTTACTGAAGGATCCCACACATCTGCTAATTCAAATATCAAAGACACCACACTTGGAAAAAAGAAAAGGTTTTGTTTCCTTTTGGTTTTTAATTGAATTAAATGGTTTTTAATTAAATTAAATTAAATTGATAATGGTTTTTAATTGAATTACTGAGATGAAAAGACAATGAAGCCCTGTTTGCTACTTACATGAAAAGAAGATTTTAAAAAACAATCACTGCACAAAATACAAAGGGAGGGGGGTAATGCTGTGGCATTGACTTTCTCCCCAGGTTCTTCTCAACTGCTCAAGAACAAATTAAAGTTTCCACAGCAAATTTGTTCTCAAAATGCCGAATGGTGAAACAGTCACTGGCTTCACGCTTCTGAATACCTGTTTGAGAAGGAAGAGGTAGTTTTTTTAAGTTTTTGGTTCTTTAGTAATAAATATTCACATTAATTCTCAGCTACTCTTTAAATGTAAAGAAGCATGGCACTGCTCTATATCCATCCCATAATTTCACTATTTTAAATCTTTTCTCCACTGGGTCTTTTCATAGACCAGAGCACCTGGTGACAGTGCTTTACAAACTGCTTACAGATCCTGTTGGCTAGTTTTGTGTCAACTTAACACACAAACTAGATTTATATGAAAGGAGGGACATTTACTGAGAAAATGACATTGTAAGGTCTGGCTGTAGGGCATTTTCTTAATTAGTGATTGGTGTGGGAGAGCCCAGCCCATTGTGGGTGATGCCGTCCTTGGCCTGGTGGTCTTGGGTTCTATAAGCAAGCAGGCTGAGCAAGCCATAATGAGCAAGCCAGTAAGCAGCACTCTTCCACGGCTTCTGCATCAGCTCCTGCCTCCAGGATCCTGCCGTTTGAGTTCATGTATTGACTTCCTTTGGTGATGAACAGCAATGTAGAAGTGTAAGCTGAATAAATCCTTTTCTCCCCAACTTGCTTTTTGGGTTATAGTGTTTTGCTGCAGCAACAAAAACTCTAGGACACAGATGTATGAGCTAAAAGGTTTGAGAATTATTCTAGTTATGGATGGTGGACTGACATGCCCGTATGTGCTTGCAGAACTGCCCACCAGGACAAACTTCATTCTATCAAATTGTTTTTAGACAATTATGAGCCAAGATAGTAACTTAAATGTAAGAGATCAAGTGGGAGATTTCAGATGACTCATCGGCCTGAGGTGAGAACAATGTCATCACAAGCATGAGAAAAGACCAGGAAAGCACTTTGACTGAGTGATGCAATTCCAGAGAAATCAGACTGCAGTGAGATTGACGGCCCTCTAAAGTGTTGTGTTGTCACATGTACTTTCTTTTGCATTTGTAATGGCACATGCTGCCATTCTTACTGTTCAGGAAGAAGAAAAGAAGGTTAAGTGACTGGGCAGAGCTGAGTAAGCTGTGTCAGTGCTCTGGACTCCTTACCTACACTCCTTTCTAAGTCACCTGGCTATGACTATCCTCAGCATGATTCAAAAGGCCAATTGCCCTATGAGAATTCTTGAATCCCTGGGAATCCAAGCGAAAGGCCAAAGAGAGAACTTTCAATAATGAGACTCCTCTTTCCTATGGCTGGGCCACAGAGGGAATGAAAGGTCAAACCTGACTTTTCTAAATGCAAATTGAAGAGGGGCATCTCATGGCAAGGGCATTACATGCTGACTGGCCTTCGCTATCTGAAAGGAGTGGGTGTGGGATTCCGAAGACTGCAAATCCTAGAAACACTAACAAAGTACGGCACTGATTCCCTTCCATTTCTTACCTATGGCAGGAAGGTTACTAGCGACACCTACGTGTTATAGGAATTATCTGAGTGTCTTTACCTCTGATAGTTTCTCTGCGCTGCAGCTTGTAGGTTTCCTTGTCGTGACACAATCGATAAATGAAGAAGCCCAGGTGGTCCACGTTCTCGATGCGGTCGGTGATCACCATGTGCTCATGAATAAGGTATGACTGAGGCAAATAGGTTCCAGCCTGCGGTTGAAAAGGTGACATGGAGCTTTCAAAATGTACACTGAACAAACTAGAAAGGCAGGCAAAATTCTTAGGCGACAGTTTTAAACCAGAGTTTACGGATATTTAACCATCTGCTTTTATAAATACAGACTTGGTGTTTGAACTGGGGTCTCACTTTGTTGCCCAAGCTGGTCTTCAATTCCTGGCCTCAGCTGTTTGTTCTGTCTCAGCATCCAACTAGACAGGACTGACTACATGCAGGTGTCACTGTGCCCAGCAATCATACGATTTTGTTGTAATACAGCCATGCTCAACACAGAAGCAGCAGAATTAAGTACCTGGTTAATATTTTCTAGTTGTTTAGGAAAATTTAAATGTGATAAATTGTTTTGAATTAAAAAAAAACCTTGCATCTTACTTATCATTTACTATGTCTGTGAATAGTATGTGCCTGTATAAGTAGTATGTGTGCATATATATGTTCATGTGTATATGTGCATGCGCTCTGTCTGTGTATAGTGTGTGTATGTGTTGTATATATAGTGAGTGCCTGCATAGTGTGTATAGCGTGTATGTAGTGTGTGTATAGTGTGTATACATGTGTTCTTAGAGTGTGTGTGTGCGCTGTGTGTATAGTGTGTGTAGGACTGAGCATGGATGTCAGAGAACAATTTCTGGAGTTGGTTGTCTCCTTCCACTATGGGCTTTCTGAATTGAGCTTTTCTGTCAGGTTTGCACGGCAAGCACTTTTACTGCTGAGCCATCTCTCCAGCCCACTTTTTAATTTTTTTTTGAATATTATTTTCAAATTTTAAAACATTACAAATAGAAAGAAACAGCACGCAAGTCTCCGCGCTTCTTTGTAAATCCCTTGGCTGCACTCTAGAAGGCTAACTTTCCAACAGGGAATTCCGAGACACTGTACCAACACTGCTAATCAGAAATAGCAAACACTCGATACCTTGATGTTAATGAGTAGCTCCAACAGGTTTCTGGGTGGCATAACGATGGAAGTGTTCAGAGGAATCACATAGCACTTGTCCAGGTTAAGGTCCAAATAAGCAGTGAGTTTCTGGAAAGAAGGACAAGTCTCAGCCAGGTCAGTGTACCTGAGATACACAGCAACTGGGCTTCTAAGAATTGTACTGGCAAGGCGGGCTGACTTTGGAACTTCTAAATCACCTGCATTGCAACAAATCAAGAACTTGGTGGGGTTAGCAGGCAAGCCGCAGGCAGCGAGGTCTGAGAAGGCCAGGGCTCAGAGGGAGAGGAACCTAAGTCTGCTTTGTTTATCTCATTTCAGACAGCACTTCACTACGTGGACCACGACGGCCTCAAACTTGGCAATCCTCTGCTCTCAGCCTCCCTGCTTCTGGGATGAGAGGCATGCTTGGACTTTCCAAGTCTCCCTGCCCCCTCTCCTAAGTAAAGACAAAACCCGAAACAGAAGAATTTCGCCACTATTAAAATGAAAACTGCAGCTCTCCCAGAGAACCTGCATTCTCTTCGCAGTCCTGGCTATCAGCTCACCTTGTTAAAGTCATGCACGATGTTAGCAGGGTCGCTGTCTGCAAACTCCGGTACAGGCACACTGATGAATTCAACCTCATCTTCCTCAAAGATCTTAATGTTCTCTTCAATCGTCTGGTAACGGGCGGCCGGGGCATCTGCAGAAGGCTCGTTCAAGATGACGTCATCCTTGATGTACTTCAGTCCACAGTAGTACACATCATCGGGCTACAGAGTTGAAAACATTGCATTTCAGCAGTTCCGCAGCAGACAGGTTTTCAAATGTAAGCTTTACTTAGGCTGCCTACATGGTATTTTGCTTACAAACTCTTACTTTTCAGACAACAAGTCAGATAGTTTAATTACAGAGCTAACACATTCTTTATCAAGTTCTAAAGTTGTCTTTTTTTTTTTTTTTAAAGGCTTTTCAGAAGGAGAAAAGCAGCTGATTTCCTCTTTGCTCTTTGTGGTAGATAAGAACAGAGAATGAAAGCTGTCTGGTGTGAAGAATATCTGAAGAAACAAGCAGGCCTCCACAAAACACATTCAGAGGCAAGTAATATTTTCCTTTCTTTTGAGACTGGGTCTCAGGTAGCCCAGGCTGCCCTGTACCTTGCTATGTAGCCAAGGATAATTTTGGAGTTACCCTTGGTCCTGCGGGCTACCATAACCAGTTTAGGTATAGGGGACTGTGCCTACTCACATCAGTAAGTCAATAAAAATATGTAAGTAACAAAAAACATTTTTAAAGGAGACATATCTAGAGACCGAGGGTGTGTAACAAATCATTTTGGTACCAAATGTTCTTTCCTGGCAGTGGAATTGCAAATTATTTTTTCTGTATCTTATGCTTCTTGTAGAACAACACAAAACAAAACACTGCATTTAAGAAGATGCAGCCAGGAGTGGTAGCAGTACAGGCCTGTAATCTTAGCCCGAGGCTGAAGGACAGGGAGCAACAGGTCAATCCAGGCGTGCCTATATAGTTCTATTTTAAAACACATTTGCCCTCTGAGTTCAGTAATGTTTGTCAGCGTGCCTCCATCTTAAATAAGGCTAACAGTGAGTACAGAGTTCATATAATCTCTGGAGAAGACTTCAAAATTAGTTTAAAAGTCTGTTTTTGAAGAATTTCTCTCTACTTTGAAACATTAAAACATCTGAAGTAGTCATGAAAGCTTTAAAGTAAATTTCCCCCATGATTCCTTAAGGATGGGGCTCAGGGGATGATATCATAAACTGTAATTAAGTGGAATCTGTGTACGCACTGAGGGTACTCTAAACACTAGGTTACAGGCAGCTTTCACCAAAGGTGGTGTCCTCATCTCTGTAGCTTACCCAACTCTTAGACAAAGCATCAGCGAGAACCAAACTGGCTGTTCAGGGATGGGCCTGTCAACACTGTAGCTAACATATCTCTTTGCTATTAACTATGGCAGGGAAGTGATTGTCCAAACACTGTCATTTGGCTATAGACAGAAAGTACATGCTTAGAGCAAGGTAGGGACCACATTTTAATGCACAGTAGAAGGTGGAAAAAAATCCGGACAAAAAATTTCTGCAGAGCTGGCGAGACTGCTCACTGGGTAAAGGTTCTAGCCACCAAGCCTAATGATTTGAATTCAATCTCTAGGACCCACATGGTAATAAAGGAGAACTGGCACCACAAACTGTCCTTTGACTATGCCCCTCCCCCATAAATAAGTAAATAAATGTAGTTAAAAAAGTAAACATTATTTTTCTACTTACCTGAAGTGCAAAATACTTGTACAGGTATGCTCCTCCAAGGATGACTCCAGCGAGCATGAAGGCCAGTCCAAAGCACATGCACCAGCACCAGGCCCTTCTCTGTCCAACTGTGACCACATCATCTGGGTCCTAGAACACGAACAGGGCAGGCGGTTAATATACAGAATCCAACGGGGACCATGTCATCCAGGTCCTAGAACATAAACAAAGGAGGTAGTTAATATACAGAATCTGACCAGGACCACATCGTCCAGGTCCTGGAACATGAACAAAGCAGATGGTGAACACGCAGAGATGCAGAGTCACAGAGGGTTATTAATGAAGATAAAGAGCAAAGGAGCAAGGCTCAGATCAAACTCAACATGGAATGAAGAAGAGGGGACACCAAGGCTCGGCTCTGTGCCTCCTCAGCCAGGAGATGGACACTAGTCCCCAGGGAGACTTGTACTAACAATGTCTTGAGCAGTAATATAAACCACAATTTACACAACTTTTGGTGCCATCTTCTAACATTTAAGATTCAGAATGGAAATGACAATTCTACATTTTCATTTCTAAGATAAGAGATGGTATCTGGACACCACTGGGCAAGTCCAGTTCCAGGAGTGGTGGCCCACAAGAACAGTGTGAGGCTAGACAGATGCACCCCTTTGTTCTGTAGCCCAGGCTGACAGCAAGCTGGTTGCCATCCTCCTGCCTCTGGCTCCCGGGTGCTATGATTACCAGCATTACATTCACAGGTTTGGAAGCTCCATTTTTATACATAGAATCATACAGAATAGTAAATAATAGTCAATGTAAGGTTCAGACCAAATGACATGGAGCAGTCTACATTTCAGGTAGTTCTCATCAACGACTATGTGGGTGTTTAGATCAACATGTGCTAAAGCTTAGCATGGAATAGGAGGGAACTGGGAAGAATTTATCAGATGTCCTATCAGAGAATCAGTGAAGTTCTAAGAGTCCCACATGTGATAAGGCTTTTTAGACCCAAACTATAAAGCACACAAGGTCTGCTTGAGCTTGCCTGACAAACACATTGCAGGAGACAGAAAGAATTCCTAACATAATTACTCTCAGGGTGGGCGCAAGTGTTGGGGATGGAATGACATGTGAAAATGGCTGCTCTCGGCATTTGGTATCAGCTAGTCAGACGGCCAAGCATGCACACACCCAACCCTACCTGCCATGCTCCCTCCAGGAGTATATTAACGAATAGCTAAGGACCGCGGGTGGACACCAAGAAAGACTATGCAGCCTTAATGTAACACGGACAGTGAGTCCTCAGGCTTTCTGATTTATCATTTTAACTATGCAACAAACAGTAATTTGAGAATAAATTACACATGTCTAATATGTTTCAACAGTTGCCCTAGGCCCCAGGAATATAGACTCTGTCAAGAAAAAGATAGGCTGGTTCATTCTGGAAAATAAATATACAAAAAGAGCCAAGCAGAGTATGCATACTTACAGTCATGGCACTTGGTTGGGGGGGTGGAGGGGGGTGGGGACAGACGAATAGATGGACAGATGGACATATGACACTATGGCCAGTGACTGCCATGAGTTAGAGATAGCCTAGACTACATAGTGGCTCTAGGGCAGCCTTAACTATCACAGAAAACTCCACTTCCTATCTAATAAAACACAAAATAACAAAAATATGGGCTGTGACAGGAAAAATGCAGAGAGCCACGAATAGGATGAGTTAAAGGAGCTGTCCCAAAAAGAGAACATGGCATGGGAGGATACAGGACAAGCACACGCTGCGAGGCAGAAGACAGTGGTCCAGGAAACAATATAAAAGGTAAAGAATGAATAAAATCACAAAGGCAGAATACCCGACCTTGCCAGGGAGACATGGCACAGCAGAGTGTTCAATGTGGTGAGAGGGATCCTAGGTTGATAGAGAATGAACCGGGGCAGGCCACAAAGGGCCTTCGTATGAAGCTGAGTTCTTAGGTTATTTTAGAAAACCATGTGCCAGGACAACAGAAGCGACAGATGTGTTAAAGAATTTAACTTTAGAACGCTTCTCCAAAGGGCAGTTTGTCACTCAGCACCTGAAACATGGCTTGAGAATAAAGAAATAAACAAGAGTCTATTTTAGTATCTAAATGACAGACCCAAGTCCACATACCATGGGGAGCTTCCTAACAGAGCTGACACTGTCAAAACTAGATCTGTTTCCTCTTTACTGCCATTTTGGCTACTTGCTTTCTCATATTAGAAAATCATGTATCTTATCTCTTGCTACTAGGTTAGACAGTTCCTGTGTTTATTCTTGTTCATTTTGCATTCCTAGAAACTCTAAACCACACTTGGCACTTGGCTAACATGCAGATATTTGATGGCTGAATGAAGAAAGAGCTTGGCTGTTTAACTTTTCATGATTCACAAAAGCTGTATCAGCAGCCAGAACGATAGTGGAGGGGGACAACACAATCACTTTTGATGCATAACAAGCTGGCTGTCAGGCAAAGGCATTAACTGCATTTAACCGAGCGTCTCTTCAGGCCAGTTACATGGAACACACTGGGTGAGATCCTGCAAGAAATTCACAAGTGAATAAAGCACGCTTCATATCATCAGCAGTTTATGAACTACAGGTATGACAGATATGATGGCCCACATTACAACCTGAGTTACAGAGCAATTAAGCTGGGTGTGGTGGCTGAGGCAGAAGAACTGCCACATATTCAAGGCCAACCTGAGCTACACAGTAAGTTCCAGGTCAGCCAGGACTACAGCACCAAATAAAAATTAAAAAGGAAATAAATAAACACCTCACAGAACAAACCTTGTACTTGGTGTACTAAAACTCACACCACAGCCTTTCTAGTCAGATGTACAAAGATGCTCATTATGGTTGAGTCTGTTTCAACTTGCTGTAGTACTTGACATCCCAGCCAGTAAACAGCTGACAACAGGCACAGGGTGAGAAAGAAGAAAACTGTAGAAAGCCCACCAAGGTCAAATTATTCTACTAAAGATCAATTATTAAAAATCACCTATCCTTTATAAGCCTATAGTCCCAGCACCTGGCTTGAAGTAGAAGCAAAAGGATGAGGACAGGACCTCCAAAAGGAGACCAACAGAGCCATAAAAACTGAGCCCTGCGGGCTCTGCATAGACTGATACCCCAACCAAGAACAATGCATGGAGAAGACCTAAAACTCTGGCTCAGATGTAGCCCATAGACTCAATCTCCAAGTGGGGCCCCTAGTAAGGGGAGAAGGGGCTGTCTCAGACATGAACTCAGTGGCAGGCTCTCTGATCACCTACCCCTGAGGGGGGGGGGGGGCTGGGTGCAGCCTTACCAGGCCACAGAAGAGAGCAATGCAGCCAGTCTTGATGAAACCCTATAGGCTAGGGTCAGATGGAAAGGGAGAAGGACCTCCCCTATCAGTGGACTAGGGGAGAGTGGCATAGGAGGAGATTAGGGAGGGAGGGGGCCACAGCTGGGATACAAATTGAATAAATTGTAGTAAGTGATTTAAAAAAAAAAGGATCAGGAGTTCAAGGTTGGGCCAGCAAGAGGACTTGGTGCTTAAGAGCCTCACTGCTCTTGCCAGAGAGCCTTGGTCTGGTTCCCAGAACCCATATCAGGTGGCTCAGAACCATCTGTAACTCTAGTTCCTGGGGACCCAACACCACTTAGAACCTTGGGATCCACATATGGTGCACATGACTTCTCAGGTACATGTGCACACACATAAAATTAGATAAGCATTTTTAAAATATTTAAAAATTCAAAGTAATCCTTCCTACATAGTATTTTCTAAGAATGACGTTACATGAGAACCTGCTTCAAAACACCAAAAAGGAAGAACTTGTTTGTTAAATTCATAGCATCATTTTTCAAATTTGTCCTAAACTAAAACCAACCCAAACATACATTAACTGACAAATTTCCATGTATCACAATCATACTATCAAACAAAACAGCAGAGATCCTGTATTTAGCGTGTGCTTCAAACATTTCATAACTTAAAAAGAGGAAAAGCCTACCCTCATGTTTTCAGTTTTTCTTTTTCTTAACTGTAGTGTTTAAAGTCCACACTAGAAATCACTTAATAAACTCCAAGTCTGCTTTAAAAAAGAAGAAGAGGACCATTAACTAATAGGCAAGCCATTTGCTGGGGTATGAAACTGTACTTGGCCTGATTTAACAGAGCCATGTACTTCCTCCCCTGCACCGCACTGTAAGTGGTGCACCTCAACGCCTTAGAACTCCCACAGGCCCCGCGTAATTAGCTTCTCATTAATCTTCCTGAAAGTCAAGACTTTAGCCCAGTTTACTAAAAGCACACCGTGGCCTACTCCTATCCTCAACAGCAGATAAGAGTCCAGCTTGTTAGTCCAAGTCTTTAACCTCAGCTACTCAGGAAGGAGGCTTGCAGTTAGTAGGAAGCCTTAACAATTTAAATTAAAAAAAAAAAAAAAAAAAAGCATCCAGGGGATGCAGTGTGGTCGAAGAGTGCTTCAAGGGCACACACACGACCCTGGCTTAGTCTCTAATACACAGACGTGGCACAGGGAAGTATTCTCTCAGGTATCACAATATGTTCTCTTCAGAATAGAACTTGACAGTTGGACAAGATGACTTAACTACACCTTACGCAAAATGAAGGATAACTGTTTCCTTAGTTATGAATCAGGCCACCCCATCAGCTCCCTAAGAGGCTTCAATAAATGGGCTTCAGTCACAAAAGTAGCTCCAATAAACATGTTTTATTTAAACATGTTTTATTCTGTTTCAAAGTGACAAATACTCCACATCCTTTGCTACATCTATTTGAACCTTATTTACATATTGAATGGAGCACAGGGCTTTTTAAGCGACATTTTCTAAAGCTCTTGAAATGTAATGTTTTGAATTTCAGGGCAAACGTAGCAGTGGCGTCTAAGGAGGAAGATATCTCAAGTATTAAAAATTACAGGGCCAGGGCTAGGGGTGTAGGCAAGTGGGTAGAATGATTGCCCAGCACATGTGAAGCCCTTAGGTTCAGCATCCCCGGAACAAAGCCAGCTGTGTTGGGCAAGCCTGCGACCTTAGCCCTGAGGATGTAGAGGCAGGAGGAACAGAGGTTCAGGGTCATCCTTAGCTACACAGTAAGTTAAAGGCC